ATGTATGTATATGTATATACAATGATGATATATGTATATAACTGTACGATTCTGTGACAATTATGCGCGCGTGTAAAATACGAATATAATTGTTTGTACTTGTAATTATCTGTTTGTTAACATCGCCACGATACACAATTTAAGTGTGCTACATTCATTTTAATAATGATGTATACAGTTTCTAGTCGTATGAAAAGCTATATTTTTGATTACGTAAATAAAATAACAGTAAACTCGTTGATGACATATACAATACATCATATGTCATTTTGAAGAAATCTTATTTTTTTATATATATTCTGTGAGAATCTGTGATAAATGTATATTCATAGGATATGTGTATAGTCCAATAATTAAGGATATATTTCATGTTAAAGAGAAAAAACGCGATTTTTGATAAACAATAGCATTTATTACAAAAGTAGATGTACGTAGTGTGGAACAACCATGTTTCTTACAATGATATAGGAAATTTATACAATTTATATAAAGTGACCTAGAAGTATTCCTGAAAAAAACTAATATTTAAAATATGATCAGTGTTGATAAATTAAATTAATTACAAAATTAGAGGTACGCAGTATGGAACAATTATGTTTCTTACAATGACATAGGAAAATTTATACAATTTATATTAAGTGACTTAGAAGTATCCCTGGAAAAAACTAATATTTAAAATATGATCAGTGCTTCTTCGTGTTCTTCAATAATTTCTCATATTTACATTTACTCGAGTACCATAAGGCGAATGGAATAAGTAGAGAAGGTAGAGTCATTACAGCAAACGCGGCCCAATCGATCTATGAAACATAACAGAACATGGAAATATTGAAAAAATGACATTTGAATTGTAGGATACATAAATGGATGGATGAATCTATTTACTTCAGATTACATAAAACTTTCTTATATATGCAGTATAATTATTGCAAGTTTGTTACAAAGAAAACAATGCAATTGTGTATGTATGTGTATGACAGACATCCTATTAATGTAGAAATAATTTATAATAGTCTTATATGGAAAATACAATTAAGTATTAAAAGTTCACAAAATAATGAAAAATTAAATACAAAAATGTACACAAGAGCCATAGAATATATAATTTGTATATATTTATAAGTATATATAACTGTACTATATAAATTATTTGCTTTGTTACTTTCCATTAAATTTTCAAAATAACTGCGGGACTATTCCTCCACAGGAATCCTTCATTATGATTAATATTTGTATGATACTTGCAACTGTACTTACCACATGAGATGAAAATTGTTTATCATAGTCTCTGTATGCCACAATGAGTCCTTCGCCAGGTTCGCTGCTTACAGCCACTTGTAATCTAGGAGCTTCTTGAAAACGACGGTATAAAACTTCAGCCGAGGTAAAGTTGAAATATCCAAACTTGCGTGGCCTCACAACCACAGTGTGGCTTACATTCGTGTAAGGAGGCACATTATCGATTCTAGCATTTAATTCGCCGCTCACATGAGTAAAATGGTCTGGATGGAACGAATTGTCTGTGATCTCAACTTCAGATGCAGCCACATTGCCAGTATTATAAATAGTATACTGTAAATTCATTTCACTTTTTAAAATAAAAATATATGTTTGTGTGACTTTACTAAAGATGTGTAGAATATACGAGTATATGTACAATATATTTTAATGATACAAAAAATATATCCATTATGAGAAATTGTCATTAAAAAAATATTTTTTTAATAAGGTACTCTATGGATATTTGAAATGTTGAATATACAAAATACTTTTCTCTCAATACCTTAATAACTATATCCATATTTTCTACTAGATATTTGTTAAGTATCTGTTTAGAGACTAATAATCTAGCAGCTTTTTCCTCCTCTTCTGCATATACTGCTATGCATAACATAGCAAATGCTGCGAATAAGATGTGCCACTTCATTTTCTGCAAGATTAGAAAAGGTTTCATTAATTATTACTCATTATCAATTTTCGTTGCAAGACCCCGTTAACACATGTGAATCGATCAATTAGTTTATAATCGCGACTTTATGTCAACCTTATGTCAATTTATCCGTCAATCTTGAAAATTATGTTACCAAGTGATTTGGCCAGTTTTGTGGGAAATTACTTGCATTTATGTACCGTGAATGTGAGAATATGCTTACAAGTGTATGAAAAATGAATGAAACTTACGTTTTTCGTTTTACGTGGAAAATATTCAATGCGACCACGGTGATTATTATAGTCGCTTGTTTTCAGCGCACAAAACGTCTCGTGTCATTCGATTCCATACAAGACACAAGAGAACTTAGGGGAAGGGAGAATATTCGCCAACAGCGCTCCATTCGCCTGCCACGTTTCCGACACAAGTGCACACGAGTGACAAATCTGCGTACACATACCGCTACTTCCGGTACGCGCTGTAAAGCCCGTATTGCTCGTATCAGACTACGCATTGAAAATTGAAGATTGAAGATTAAAGATTGGAATTTTACTAATCAGAACAAAAGGGACTAAAATTTCTTTGTCCTGATTGGTCAAATTTCAATCTTCAATCTTCAATGTAAGGAGAGTTAGGGCCGTGGCACATAGAAAAACTTAAGCAGTAAGACTTAAGACGTAAGCGAATTGACCAATCACGGTCGAACAGTAAGGCAGTCATATTGAAACGTAAGCTACGCTGAAAATTCCGTATGGTTGAAATTCTTAAGTCTTAAGTCTTTCTGCTTAAGTTTTTCTATGTGCCACGGCCCTTAGCCCCTTTTTGTATAGCTAATAATTTTACATATACAGCCAGATTTTGCAATTCGGCTCTTAAAAATTTATAATTAGGCCCGTTCTACAATAAGCCGTATGTCGTTAAGCCCGTATCAGACTACGCATTGAAAATTGAAGATTGAAGATTAAAGATTGGAATTTGACTAATCAGAACAAAAAGGACTAAAATTTCTTTATTCTGATTGGTCAAATTTCAATCTTGAATCTTGAATCTCAATCTTCAATGCGTAGTCTGATACGGGCATAAGGCCTGTTCTACAATGTATATATGTATGTATGTATGTATGTATGTATGTATGTATGTATGTTAATACCATGTTTAGATTTAATTTTTATGATATACTGATAAATATCAATAGCCGCGTTTAACAGAGAAAGCGCTCACTTAAGATTGTATTAAGACCGTATTACATTACGGATTGTGGGCGATTGGGATTACGGTTGTAAGTCACAAATTGACCAATGACAGTCGATTATTCCGAGAATATTCAATTGTGATTGGTCAATTTGCTTACGACTAACGACATACAGCTTATTATAGAACGGGCCTTATTATAAATTTTTAAGAGCCGGATTGCAAAATCTGACTGTATATGTAAAATTATTAGCTATACAAAAAAACATTTTAAATGCGGTAGCAAACGTTACCAATCAATCACCAAACGAGTGGTGAAAAAAAATTCTCAGCAGTCGAAATA